TTTTTTTGTTGTTTGTTTTGTTTTGTTTGTTTTTTTTAATTTTTTTTTAATTTTTTTTTTTAAGATTTTATTTATTTATTTGAGAGAGAGAGTGAGAGAGAGAAAGAGCACAAGAGGGGGGAGAGGGAGAAGCAGACTCCCTGTTGAGCAGGGAGCCCGATGCGGGACTTTTTTTTAATTTATTTATTTTTTTTAAGATTTTATTTATTTATTTGAGAGAGAGAGTGAGAGAGAGAAAGAATACCACTTTTAATAATCTTCCCAAATTAAGTTAATTTATAATATTTCAACAGTAACAGGACAATTTTTGCAGCATTAGTTTTAAATATACTGTGAAGGTAAGCATTTCAGATTAATACAATATTTATAAAATGTCTAAAGAAATGTAAGCAAATTGTTTTTGAAATTATTTATAAATATTAGGAACTTTAAGCATATGTGGTGCTAAGTAATATTGACATGTCTGGGAAAATGTACAAAACAGAGGGAAATAATGCAACTACTCTTTCCCCACACTTACATTCCCACATACAAAATAATACATTCTCTGAGGGGAAAAAAAGGCACTTGGGAAATTAGTAAGGCCTACAGTGACATTAAAACATGTACTTAAATACAAACCTGAATCAGGCTAAGCAGTGAAAAATGTAGACTCAAATGCTATTGAAAACAGGAAAGAAAAAGAACACGGGCACTTGTTCGTGTAAAAAGAGGAATTGCTGTGGAGGTTGGAAAACACCTTTCTGGAGATTTTAACAACATGACAAGAACAGGACAGATTTGATGCCACATTCCTCTCTCAAGATTGAGACTTGATTCCATGAGGTCACACAGCTCATGGATTCTATTATAATCCAGTCCCACACTGAGGCTCAAAGTGCAGTATTCACCCTTCCTAAATGCTTCATGTCTAAGTTCCGGAGAACTTTCCCCCTCAGGACTGCTCTGGTACTCAGCAGTAATCTAGCAAGTGCTCATCTTCAGATGCATCAGGAAGCATGTACCATTTTTCCAAAACAAACTGATCAGATGTCAGAAACAGTAGAATTCTCAGATCTTTTTCCCTCCTTAGGTCAAACTTCATCATTCCTAGGATTTGATTGAGATCTGAAAAATTCTGTACCTTCAATTCTCCAGCCAAACACAGTCTTGATCTTAAAAAGTTTCTCATTTCCCCAAATTTCCTTAAAAATGTCTTTTACCTTCAAAATGACTTTATACTTTACCTCTGTGTCCTGAACTTAAAATCTATCACAGCTAAGGAGATGGAGTTGTTTTAATGAGGGCAAAAGAAAACCCAAGAAAATACAGGCTCCATAGAAAATAAGCAAATATATACCAGATATAGGAAGCTCCAGGCTCTTCATGCTTTTTAAAAATGCCATATGGGACTTTGGATATGGGGAAATGCGCTGAACTCTTTGAGGAGAGAGAAAGTAATTTCTAGTTGGCCTCTCCTTAGAGTGAAAATCATTGCTGTGAAAAACAGTACTCAACAATTAAGGTGACCAAAAAAAAAAAAAGCCTGAACTGTTTTCTTCCTACTTTCTGAAGACAGGGGAGATGGTAATCGAGAGGACATATTACAAAGACAGATCAGTGGAGGGCATGAGACTGTGCTTGGTGCATAACAGGAACTACAGAAAGATCAGTGTATTCCTGCCACCACAGTAGCAAACTGACGTAAGCTAGTTTAAATAGAAAAGCAATTTACTAAGGAGTGTTAGGTATTTCTGGGAGACCAGAGAGTCTGTGTTTGAGGTTATCCTACTGGGAAGATGCTCAGCCCTCACCAGGAAACTGCTTCATGGAGACCCACTGCTGCTCTGGTAGTCCCACGCACCTCTACGGTCATCACCTACCCTGACTGCTAAAGACTACCAGCTCTGCAACCATTACCCCCCCAAAGCTTGAAAGCCTCCACTACTTGCCTTGCCAGAAAATGGATTCTTGGTTCTCACGTAGCTCTCTAATAATGCAATCTCGAATAGGTGCATTCAATTGCATAGAATATAGACCATGAGAACCGGGAAAATGAAGTAGCTAGCTTCTACTCTGGCAGATGGGTTCATAATGTGAGATAATCCCCAAATGTGAGAATGGCCACAAAGCATGGTGCATATCTTCCATTGGAAGAATGGCTCCAGTGTAGAAGCCAGAAAGTCAGTAGGCCTTGATAGATTCATTTCTTTTCTTTTTTTTTTATTCTTTTTTATTGTTATGTTAATCCCCATACATTACATCATTAGTTTTAGATGTAGTGTTCCATGATTCATTGTTTGTGCATAACATCCAGGGCTCCATGCAGAACGTGCCCTCCTCAATACCCATCACCAGGCTAACCCATCCACCCACGCCCCTCCCCTCTAGAACCCTCAGTTTGTTTCTCAGAGTCCATCGTCTCTCATGGTTCGTCTCCCCCTCCGATTTCCCCCCTTCATTCTTCCCCTCCTGCTATCTTTTTTTTTTTTTCTTAACATATATTGCATTATTTGTTTCAGAGGTACAGATCTGAGATTCAAGTCTTGCACAATTCACAGCGCTTACCAGAGCACATACCCTCCCCAGTGTCTATCACCCAGTCACCCCATCCCTCCCACCCCACCCCCCACTCCAGCAACCCTCAGTTTGTTTCCTGAGATTAAGAATTCCTCATATCAGTGAGGTCATATGATACATGTCTTTCTCTGTTTGACTTATTTGCCTTGATAGATTCGATATTACTAGTGAGGGAGAGGGGGCAGCCTGAGTGACCCTCAGATTTCATGTTTGCATCTGTGGTGGATGGTGGTGCCATTACTGAAATGGGGTGGGCTTGTTTAGTGCAAGAAAGGCCATTGGGATTAAGAATTCAGTTGGGGGGATTCTGGGAAGATGACAGCAGAAGTGGCATAATTTTTTAATCTCCTCAAAGTAGCCTATAAAAAGAAAAAAAAAATAGCACAATAAAGCCAAACACCCATGGTGATAGTCTTCAACAGTAGGTGACAAGGAATTCCCATATACTACAAAATATGAATGGGTAAGGAGTAACCACTGACAGCTGTTAAGACCTGCTTATACCAACACCTTTGCAGGACAGAGGGAAGCAAGGGACATCAGAAGGACTGGAGAACCCTAAAGAGCCAAGAACTACTCACTAGAAACTTCAGAAAGCTGAGAGGGGTTTTATACTCTAATAATTAATGAGCATAAAGAGTTTGCAGTGAATTCTGAAGGGGCCACAGAAGTCTGGGTCCCATGAAGTCCCAGACTAAGTAGTCAAAACTTACTTCTAGGACAAAGTTCCATCAAGATAAGAAAATGTTGCAAGGAGAATGCAAATTGAGCACCAGAGGAATAGCAGAGTCAAAGGAAATAGCAGGTCCAGATAAAATTAGGGGAGGACATAGCTCCAGAAAGTAAGCTGCAAAATTTTTCGAACACTGGACAAATAGAACAAAAGAGAGAACTAAAGATCTGTGAAGTTAGGAGGATTATCTGGAGCTACAATTATTTCTAAAAGTTAAGGAAAACAAATTTTAAGTATAAATGAACAAAGGAAGAATCAGATCTTAACGTTAATGTGAAAAAAAAAAAAACAGATTAGGAGGAAGAATAACATCCCTACAGATAAGGAAGGAACACTAGAGAGACATTACCACAATATGTCTCGCCGCAGAGAGAGGATGTGCTCTGACAGAGCGGGGCTTTCATGGCTTACGGTCTGAAGCTTTGCATCAAGTAAATCGAGGGTCCATAAAGGAAATTGTGACTGTGGGAGACATCCTCAAGATAGTTGCCAATGCTCACTGCCCTGAGTCTTGTTAAGGATTCCTTTTCTTCTTATTATTATGAGATGTGATGATGCAAAAGGCTGAACTGGGAGGTCATTATAATGACTTGTGGGCACAGATAAGGGGTTTTGCCCATAGACTTTTTAGTGAAGGTTTATTCTAATGAGCTGTGTTTGCTACATTATTTATTCCCATCATGCTGGAAATAATCATGAAGCCAAATATTCTACCAGTCAGACTGGTTTTTGTCTTTTTTTACATTATTGCAGTAACTACAACCCCTGGGCTAGAGATGCCTAGGAAATGGCAGGGAATTGCAATGGAGAGAAAAAGAGCTTGAAGGGGTGGAGGTAGTCTTCCTAACAGTAATAATGGCAACTTCCAACAACAATGACTTGATATTCTGATTAATCGATTTTTTTTTAAATAGCAAGAAATATATGCTTGATGGTTTTATTTTTTTTTTTTAGATTTTGTTTGAGAGAGAGAGAGAGCACACAAGTGGGGGGAGTTAGGCGGGGCAGAGGGAAAGGGAGAAACAGACTCCCCACTGAGTAGGGAGCCCAACGTGGGGCTCAATTCGAGGACCTCAAGATCATGATCTGAGCTGAAGGCAGACGCTAACCAAGTGAGCCACCCAGTCACCCCTATGCTTGAGTTTTATTTGAAGTGCTCCTTATGTGGGGCAGCTGGGTGGCTCAGTCGAGCAGCTGACTCTTGAGTTCAGCTCACGTTATGATCTCAGGGTTGTGGGATCAAGCCCTGCAGTAGGCTCTGCGCTCATTGGGGAGTCTGCCTGAGATTCTCTCTCTCTAAAAATAAATAAATCTTTTTTTAAAAAACGCTCCTTATCTATAATACCATCTAGATATTAAATAGATAATTTGGAATTTTGATAGCATTTAAATCATAAATTTTAAAATATTTCTTCTAAACCACCACACAAATACATTTTTTTCCAAGCCAAAACAGATAGTCCCATGCTTGAAATGCTGTTTCTAATTTCTAATTTATTTTTATAGGCTAATTTGCAAAATGAAATTGGATGATTGGTTTGCAGTAAACATGGTATACCAAATTGGTTTCTAAATTTAGAGAAAGGTTGAGTCTCCTCTTATAATAATCAAGAAATAATAGAAGTATTAATGATAATGGAGCTTCCATAATTAAAAAGTCAAATTCTGAAATAACAAGCAGAAATGAACTTTAGCAGGTACTAGCAACATTATAATTCTTGCAAATGGTTATTTTGAGCTCTTTTCATGGGATAAGGCAACCTCCAATATGCAATTTACTAAATGATAATACATGTATCATATATGTCATAATTATGTCTCATAGTCTTGTTGAATGTAGTACTATTAGTCGTAACAAAGATATGGGAAATAGTGCATGAAATTATGAAATTATGAGTCATAAAAGAAAGATGTTTTAATGAATGCTTTGATTTCTATATCTGATATTTTAAAAATTTTTAGAAAGTAATTGTTATCCATATAAATGTTTGTTTTCAAAGAAAAAACTTATTTACATATAATAGGATTTGCAAATGAACTCTAGATTTTAAATACAGTAGACTCCATGTCCTTTCTTGGAGGTTTTCGAGGACTGATTTTTGGTAATATCTCTTTGGCATAAAATGTTTTATGAAGTCCAGCTTCTCGAAGCGCTAACTCAAAACGGAGTCTAGGGTCAGAAATTATCTGTAGAAATAAAATACATTTAAATAAGTAGCAATTCATTGAACTAAATTACATTTTATCATTTAGTTCCATATTTCCTCAAGCTGTTTAACTTGTTTATTCTGGGTAGATGACTATAAACTTGATATATATAGTGACTATATTGTGTTGAGGTTTTTGTTTTTGGGGGTTTTTTTAACTGGAAATGTCCAGGGGCACCTGGGTGGCTCAGTTGGTTAAGCAGCTAACTCTTGATTTTAGCTCAGGTCATGATCTCAGGGTCTTGGGATGGAGCCCCAAGTGGGGCTCCACACTCAGCCAGGGAGTCTGCTTGTGGATTCTCTCTCTCCCTCTGCCTCTGCCCCTCCCCCTGCTTGGGCTCATTCATGCTCGCTCGCTCTCTCTCTCAAATAAATAATAAATCTTTAAAAAAAAGAAAATGTCTAAATATTTTTTTTTAAGATTTTATTTATTTATTTGACAGAGAGAGACACATCAAGAGAGGGAACACAAGCAGGGGGAGTGGGAGAGGGAGAAGCAGGCTTCCTGCTGAGCAGGGAGCCCGACGCGGGGCTCTATCCCAGGACCCTCAGATCATGACCTGAGCCAAAGGCAGACACTTAACGACTGAGCCACCCAGGTGCCCTGAAAATGTCCAAATATTCTTGACATTATCATTTTCCAGTATATCTGTGGTTTCCAACACAAGGTGTAGAGAATATCTTACTAGTCAAAATATAACACATTGAAATTATTAAAAGATGGGGGGAAACTTACTTTCAGTACTTTCATTGATTCATTATTGATAGCTAGAATTAGAAAGTATAGACAATCATTGTTTAAAATAAACCTAAACCACAACCTTGTGCATTGGTCTTTAAATGAATATTCAATTTCTCCGTCATTCAGCAATATGTAAATTGTGTTTAAACACATGGCCCCTACTTTAAAAAACAACAACAAAAAAATCACTTGAACTCTCCTTCCAAGGCTGGATTTCTATTTCAAGCAGAATTAGAAAATGTTTCCACCAATGTGATTCTAAGTGGGAATTGAAATATGAGTAGCTCAATTTCTATTTTCATTTATAGCTGATTGGGCCTTTTTCCTCTTCCCCTCCTTCTATGAATATTAAATGTCAACAGACGCTGTTTGCTATGATAAGGTAGCCACATACAGATTTTAGTTAATGAGGCATTTTACATGGACTTGAAGTCCCCCTAGAGGATGGGATAATAAGCTGTTGAAAGCAGCCCCTCCTTCAAGAAGCTCTTAAGCTAATAGGGGTAATAAGAATGTATACAGATAACTACAGCTCATGGCACATGTGAATGATGTTCCAAGAACAGTAGAACACAGAGGTACATCTCCCAGTGCAGATGAGACTAGGATGACCTCAGGTAAGCAGCAGCACTTGAGCTAACTGTAATGTTCACCCTGTTTTTCTACGAAGCAGAGCAGGGAGGAAAAGAGAGAGAGCAGGAAAGGAAGGCACATGCAAATTCAGAGGTGAAATAGGTCAATTTGGGACCAGGGCAGTTTCGGTAGAACACTGGAGTAGCAGTCTACTACAGTGGTCTTACACATGAAGTAATAAATGCCTAAACTTGGCTGGTAGCAAGGAAGAGAGAACTGTCAAACATTATGAAAGGAAGAATCAAGAGACTCTGGCAACTGATGAGGTACAGAAATGAGAGGCAATGATGTATACAAGTTGAAAATACAGAGATTTGTGTCTGAGAAGCAACGTAGTTGAGGCTTAGATCTAGTTTCTCCTCTTCTGGATATAGTCTCTGTGGTCCCCCTCATCCACTTCCAAGGATTCATGCTCCACCTGTGTGCTCCTTAATTATCTCCTGGAATCACCTGTCTTCTCAATTTGTGGTTTGTGAGGTTTAAAATGTCTCATTATCCTGAAAGGGGAGCCCTCCTACACTGTTGGTGGGAATGTGAGCTGGTGCAGCCACTCTGGAAAACAGTGTGGAGGTTCCTCAAAAAGTTGAAAATAGAGCTACTCTACGACCCAGCAATTGCACTACTGGGTATTTACCCTAAAGATACAAATGTAGTGATCCAAAGGGGTATGTGCACGCCAATGTTTATAGCAGCAATGTCCTCAACAGCCAAACTGTGGAAAGAGCCTAGATGTCCATCAACAGATGAATGGATACAGAAGATGTGGTGTATATATACGTATATACAATGGAATATTATGCAGCCATCAGAAAAAATGAAATCTTGCCATTTGCAATGATGTGAATGGAACTAGAGGGTATTATGTTAAGTGAAATAAGTCAATCAGAGAAAGACAAGTATCATATGATCTCATGGATATGAGGAATTTGAGAAACAAGATAGGATCATAGGGGAAGGGAGGGGAAAAATGAAACAAGACGAAACCAGACAGAGAGACAAACCATAGAGACTCTTAATCTCAGGAAATAAACTGAGGGTTGCTGGAGTGGAGGGGGGTGGGAGGGATGGGGTGGCTGGGTGATGGACATTGGGGAGGGTATGTGCTATGGTGAGTGCAACCCCTGAAACAAATAATACATTGTATGTTAATAAAAAAAATTTTTAATGTCTCATTATCCTATTTTTAAAATAGATATCAAGTGAAATGGAGATCTCTCTCGAAAGCTGACCTCCATTTCCCCAATTCACCTCCCCAGAAGCAGCCAATCAGTTTCTTGTAAATGTGTTCTAGACATCTTCGCCCTAAACACGAAAAGAACAAAACAAGTTCTCTCCCTCCCTAAGTCTGTTTTTACTTCTGTATTCTTATATGGTTAATGGCAGCCACAGCTAATGATTATAATTTACTGAATTACTTCTAGGTGCCAGGCAATATCCTAGGCAATTGACATTTATTATCCTAATCCTCATAAGAACCTTACAAATTATTTTACAGATGAAATAAACAAGACACAAAGATGTTAATAGCTTACACAAGTTCACATAGCCAGTATATAGCGGATGTGGATTTGAATCCAAATTGCAGGCTCTCCTCAGTGTCACTTGCTGCCTAGCTTAGAGTCATTACTCCCTCCTCTCAGAGCCATTCATGCCCCTCTCTCCCATGTTTATGAGGGCTCTGCCATCTGACAAGGATCTGACCCCCCCCCAAACCCACCAATTTCCCATCCAGGACACATTGCTAAAACATATCTGATTATATAATTCACCTGCTTCTGAGTCTCGCCTGTGCTCACAGGATAAGGTCTTAGCAAGCAAGTGCTACTATACTTTTCAGTCTGACCCTAACCTATGTTTCCAATCTCATGCCCCAGCACCCACCCTTGCCACGGACTTTACACTTTCCACCCTCTTCGGCTTGGTGAAACCCTTTATTGCCTCAGCCCAGGTACCCGAGAGTTTTCCAGTTTCTGACCAATTCTTTTCCAACCCCAGCTGCTCTTCCTGCTTTGGCTTCTGGAGACACACTTACATCCTTATAATGAATCCCTCTCCTTTCACCCCACCCCTTCTCCCAACCTATTTTTTTGTATTTGGTTTAAATCACCTGGAATAAATTTTGTTACTGCTGCTAAGAATCCTCGACTAAGATGTAGCTGTTTCCTCTTTGACACTTTGACTTCCCTAGTCAGCGTTTCCATGGGTTCCCTTCTCCTTACCACTGCAGCCCTTAGACTTCCACTATGGAGGTGTAGTCTCACCCCAGAGCATTATTGCCATACAGGCTACTTTCCCTCCCAACCCAGCTGCCCTGCTCACTTCCTCCAAGAGAACAAGTCCATCCTGTTTAGGATGTAGCCCTGGCAACCCCACAGTGCCAAATACAGTGTATGTTCCATAAATATTTGTCCAATTAATAAGTGAACCGTTCACAAAGAGGCACACTCGATTTGTCAGTGGGTGAATGGAGTTTCTTACTTTTTAAATAATTAAATATTGAGCTCTCAGATTTGTAAAATTAACAAACTAGGGGGAACTACTTTCTCAATTTCAGTGACATCCATTCGTTCATCTGTCCTCCCTCCTGCCTTCCATCTATCCATCCATCCATCTAACCATTCAAAAAGACTTTTTAAAATCCTTCTCAATCTTTAAAAAAAATAAATAAAAAATAAATAAAATAAATAAAATCCCTTCTCAGTAACAGACTAAAAGGAGTCAGAAATTCCTGGAAATGGTTAAATAACACCTTAATACTTTTCCACAGAAAATGTTTTCTTTTATCATTAGCTCAGATGTATTATCTTCAATTCATTTTAATTTCTGAAAGCTTCCCTCTGCTGTGTCTTATCAGTATCAATTGTTGCTTTAATAGGACTTACATTATGAATTTAAACAAATTCCAAATTGATAGAGAAACATTTAAACAAAATACAATATTAACACAACTTTAAAAATTTATAAGTTTTAAAAATAATTTTTAACATAAAAATGTAAATTTAAAAAATAATTTTCAGTGATAGATTCATAATATGTTCAGATAAACTGTTCCAGGATTACCTATCAACTATTTTATAACATTAAGAATTGGGCAGTAATTGTGTGCTATCATTTAGCAGTAAAAATTATGCTAATCCATGTGGCATTCAAATGTAAATACGGAAAATAATCTGAAACCCAAAACACACACTTCCATAAATCTTATCATCATGGCTTTTGCATCAATCATGCTAATTCCCATAATTACCTGGTATTCATTGTATGTATTCAATGTAAAGAGTGGTTTTTGAAGAATAAATTCTTCTTCAATTCCAATACCCATCCTTGCTTTTGATGCCGTTGTATCTGACATCATTCTAACAGGATCAAACTGAGCAACAATAGCAACCTAAAAGAAGAAAAAGCATGGCTACTTGGATTAAGATACAAGCTAACTACTTCTGAGGAACACTTTTTTTTTTTTAAAGATTTTATTTATTTATTTGACAGAGAGAGGCACAGCGAGAGAGGGAACACAAGCAGGGGGAGTGGGAGAGGGAGAAGCAGGCTTCCCGCCAAGCAGGGAGCCCGACGTGGGGCTTGATCCCAGGACCCTGAGATCATGACCTGAGCCGAAGGCAGACGCTTAACGGCTGAGCCACCCAGGCACCCCTGGGGAACACTATTAATGTTTAATGTCTAGTAAAATTTCCTAACTTCAATGAAGATAAAACCAAAGAAGGAAGGGCAGACAGAATATTAAGCCAGGCCAGTCCTAGAGATCCACAAAGGAGTTAATGGTTTTAAAACAAAACATGTTAAAAGGCCATGATATATATTGTTTGCTACTGATTGAATAACTACAGTTAGGATTAAATTTAGATAAAAATTTATCTTTCTGGTACTAAGTCATAGGAAATCTGATCTAGAAAACCTACATATTGAACTACCTTAAAAGTTACCAAAAGTAAAAAACATCAACTTTTATCCACTAGCAACATATGGCCATGGTAACAACCCCACGAAGATTTCTAGGAAGTTTAATCTGTTCAAGCTCAATCTAGAGAATATTACTCACGGGTAAAGTTGAGTTGTGTTGGCATTTTGGTCAAGATGGGTGAATCCCATTGTGTTAAGCAACTAGATTTCCAGGAATTGTTGTAAACCACTGTTTCCCCTTCTACTGAAAAACTGTAGTCATTTTAACCTAAATGCCCTTGTCCTTTATGATAATTGAAATCATTCAAACCTGTATCCTAATGAAAAGAAGCCACTAATTTTGTAAATTATATGCACCATTAGTAACACCTGCCTGTTAATTCCTAAAGTCAAGAATTAGCATTAAGAAAATGGCATTTTGGGGGGCGCCTAGGTGGCTCAGTTGTTAAGCGTCTGCCTTCGGCTTAGGTTGTGATCTCAGGGTCCTGAGCCCTGTATCCGGCTCCCTGCTAAGCAGGAGGCCTGCTTCTCCCTCTCCCACTCCCCCTGCTTGTGTTCCCTCTCTTGCTGTGTCTCTGTCAAATAAATAAAATCTTTTTAAAAAAAAAAAGAAATGAAAGGCATTTTTAATGCCATTTAGAAACCATAATGACATAACTGGGGTTTGAACGTACTTTAATTATTATAGGTTTCCTAGCCAAAATGTCTTATACTATAGTTCTAAACACTGATTACAGGTAATGGGCACAGATAGTTCCTCTTTCAAAGAGTTCACAGATGGAAAGAATTCTAGTCATATGGACTCTGTAGTTATCAAAGTTATATTGTGAACAAGAATGTGTTTAGTAATAATGACATTAAAGTTTTGTCCCCAGAAGGCCATGGTATGTAATTATTTGCTAATGATTGAATAATTTAACTTTTGTTGAATCTAGGATGACCAGGACTTACATTCCTATGCTTTGAATTTATTTCTGTCATCTATTTTATCAAAGATGATATAATAGTTGCATGTATTTACACTTCCTCTAAACTATGCCGTTTAACTAGACCTCCTCGGTTTGAATCCAGTCTGACAGTTACTAGCTGTGTGACTTTGGGGAACCCCTGTGCATCCTCAGTTTCCTCTCCTATAAAATAGGAATACTGCTATAAAATAGAAATAATACATACATCATGGGGTTGTTGTAGAGATTAAATGGGATAAAACCTAAGAACATTTAGAAGAGGGCTTTATACTTAGTATTATTTTTATTATTTTTATTTTTTTTAATTTTTTTAAAGATTTTATTTATTTGAGAGAGAGAATGAAAGAGAGAGAGCACAAGAGCGGGGAGGGTCAGAGGGAGCAGCAGACTCCCTGCTGAGCAGGGAGCCCAATGTGGGACTCGATCCTGGGACTCCAGGATCATGACCTGAGCCGAAGACAGTTGCTTAACCAACTGAGCCACCCAGGCGCCCTGTACTTAGTATTATTTTTAAAATGTGAACACACATCACTACAAACCTCTGAGGCAGGTACTATTATTAGTCCCATCTTTCAGAGGAGGAAACGAAGCTCAGGGAAGTTAAGTAAAAGATCTAAGTTTCCTCTGCCAATAAGGAGCGAACCAGGTTGTACCAGGTTTGAAGGACACCAGAGACCAAGTTCTTATCCAAGATTCCAAGTTGCCTCCACCAACATGGAAGGGAAATCAGATAGTCATTTCCAATCAGCAGGGAAATGGTGTCAATGGACTTTGGAGCTTATCAGTTGAACTAATTACTTCCAGATCAAAACCTCTGAAAAATTATCAAGTAAAACTATTTTATCACATTTCTCAAATTCTTAAATTCCTGCTTTTGCCATCTGCTGTCTACGTTAAAAACTTTTGCCTACTTTTACTAGGCAAAGCAATGGGAGGCTTTAATTCTCACAAAAAAATAGTAGTTTTAAAAAGCATTTTTTCACATGTTTGCTGACTGTAGGGTATTTCCAGAGGTTCCTACCCCAAAGAGGATTACCTTGCTCTAGCTCCACCAGGTCTTTTGAGAGCATAAAATCCTTATGGTAGATGCAGTTTCACTCCTTTAAGTGGATACTCTTCAGCTAATAAACTAGAGGTAACATGGATGCATTTAAATCTTGGGAGAGCTTTTTGAAAGGTGCTGATAAAGTTATTTTAATATACTAAGAAACTGGAAATTGTTCAACATAAATCTAATTGCTCCCAGGAATGAAGATCAGTGTCCCAATTTGGAAAAATTACATTTTATATCACAGAGGTTGTGAACTAAGCCTACTAATAATGTTATGAAGGACACTTAGAAACTACCCATGAAAATCTCCAAATTAAAAACACCTGTTTCCTAAGGGCTTCTAGCCGGCTCTCTCGCTCTTCTTCTTCATGAGCTTCTTGAAGGGCCACTTCTTTTTTCTCCATCAAACGCTTTTCCAGTAATTCTTGTCTATATTTAACCCTTTAAAAATAAAGCACAAGGACGTTGGGAAAATATAATAATTATGGAAATTATACAGATGGGGCAGGAGGCATGTCAGAGGTGACATGACGGTCATAATTTGTTTTTACTTGTTTTTGGTTGATTTCTCACAGCCACACAACAAAATACACTGGTATAAAATGCAAGCTACAATAATTCTAAGAACCAGAGAACTGCAGATCAGGGGGCAGGAAAAGGTAGGGTAAAATCCAATCCATCTCTTTCTTCACTGAAATCATTGTATTGACAAACTGTCTGTAGCCTGTCACAGCTGCAGCTAATCTGACCCAACAGATGACAGTCTCACTCCTGAGTGATTAGTCCAGCAGTTTTCTGAAGAGTTTTACACAATTTGAGATGTTAAAAAGGCGACGTTACTAGTTAAACATACATACTTTTAGAAAGAATAGTAAATGTTACAATAATATGTCCAGTTATTGGAACTTAAACCAAACTTTATATTGTCACTCATTTTGTCAAGAATGCCCTGTGTGTGTGTGTGTGTGTGTATAAGTTTAAAAATTGCACTTTGACTGTAGATGGCAGCAAAAACATGATTTTCCCTTAGCATTATGTTTCCATTCTCCTTAAAATCAGCAGATACTAAACCAGAACACATTTCAATACCTTCAAGCTCATTTGACCCTCCTTTGCTGCCTTTTTTAGACAGCCTCCCTTCCCATCTTCTTGCCCAAGCCACTCTTCTATTGAATTATAGGGATGAGATTTATCTTTTCTAAAAAAGTAGACACTTGGGTTCTCAGGGGAGTATGAGGCCATTGCCTCGGTCTTCCATCATTGATGGTTTAGATTTAACTTTAAGACATCAGTCACAAATGTGCTTTGTCCTTAGTGTGTATACCTGCATTTTCCATAGATGTACCCTCACTAGACCTGTTTAATTCTGGATGTTGAGGTTTACTGATGTAGCTGTTCACTATGTATCAAGTCTGTTGCTGAGTGCTTTATGTGTTTTAGCTCATTTAGACTTCACCACAACCTGATGTTGGGGTACCAGTGTTGATCCCATTTTAAAGACAAAGAAATGGAGGTATGGACTGGTGATGTAACTTGCCCATGTTCTCACACCCAGAAAGTGGCGGAGCCAGAGATTAAACCCAGGCAGACTGGCCCCAGATCTCCCGCCGACCCTGACCCTCCCACCCCCCTGCTACTAGCCACTATGCTCTTCTCTCTTCTCCCCTTGATTACTCCACTCGCCTCACTGACATGAATACCTGCTGTGTGCTTCCCCTGTGCTGGGTATTATGAGCACATTGAGAAAAAGACAGCCCTTAGAAGTTTGTAGTTTATTTTTTAATTTTTTTTAAAGATTTTATTTGTTTATTTGACAGAGAGAGGCACAGCGAGAGAGGGAACACAAGCAGGGGGAGTGGGAGAGGGAGAAGCAGGCTTCCCGCCGAGCAGGGAGCCCGATGTGGGGCTTGATCCCAGGACCCTGAGATCATGACCTGAGCCGAAGGCAGACGCTTAACGACTGAGCCACCCAGGTGCCCCAGAAGTTTGTAGTTTAATATAGAGACAAAAAGAGAGGCCTGAGAACGAGTCAAGGTATGCAGTGCCTTCAGAGAGGAATAAAAAAGGGCCACGGGGATTTGCCGGACTGTGGGAAAGACTGGGAGGCTTCAGCAAGAGTTTTAGGGAGGAGGCAGCATCTGAGCTGGGTCTCAAGGATTAGCATTTGGAGAGACATGGTGGTGGAGGGGAGGCTGGCCTTCCTGGCAGAGAGCGAGAGAGAGAGAGCAAGCCAGGGCAAGGGTGAGTCAAGAAAGGCATTCATGCTCAGGCCCATGTAAACATAGGGTTGGGATCTGAGAGTGGGCAACTTTTAAGTTTTGCCCCCTGGTCACAGTCCTGAGAAAGGAAGAGTCCAAGATGGCTAGAACAGAGTAAGGCATTTGAAGCTGTGTCGTTTGAGCAGAGTGAGTGAATGAAAAAGAAGCCCAGGGAAGTACTGGCAGGCTGAGCCTGGCAGTCACCTGGTTCCTTCAGAGGAGGAAAAAATCTTTAAAACCAGGCTTCTCCTGAGGCTGACATTAAAGCAGCAGTACAGGAGAGGAAAGGAGGGAAGCACGCAGTAGACTCTTGCAGAGTACAAAACCCACAACAGGACTTAGAAGGCAGATCCTGAACTCCTCTGATGGCCGTGGCTGTCCTCCTCATCTCCCATATCAGGAGTCGGTGGTCAGGTACACAAATTAAAGAGGCCACGGACCAGATTGCTCCCTTTCTCCATTGCTCATTCTCTCCATTTCACTAAGGCATGACACAACCTCCCTAATGAGGTTCTACTCAATTTATGTACGGAGTACAAGCTAAGTGAACTACTGTGAAGGTTCAATTAAAAGATACCCTGGGATTTGATAATTACCATATGCTAATTCTCAGAACCTTTGAAAAGTTTCTCTTCCTTTGGGATATATAGGTTGCTTTGTCTGCAACAAAGTTTTGTCTGCTGTGGAAAAGTAATAGTAGTTCCAGTTAGGGGAGCTTGACTAGTGAGGAAGAAGTTGCAAACGAGAGTCAGGCATTTGAACCTGTGTCTGAAGAAGCCTGGCTCACGGTTTACTCTGAGGCTCACTTGCTCATTCAACAAATGTTTACTGAGCACCTGTTCTGCATCAACCACTGTGTCAGGTACTGCATTTACAATTTCAACATGGGAGGCAGGCTTCTGTCCTCACAGAACTGGCAGTCTAGCGGGGATACAAAGACCCAGGCAATTTTGACAAAGGGGGGCCCTTGCTCTGACGAGGCCATGTGATATAGGCCTTGGGAGAGGCACCTTTGCAGACTTGGGGCATTCAAGGGAGGATCCAAGAGGAAGTGTTCTGAATTTTAGACCTGAAAAAGGAGCAGAGGGGGAGAGAATAGAAAGAATGTTCCAGGCAGAGAAAAATCACATACGAAGGCCCAGAGGTGAGAAAGCACAATATTTTTGAAGAACTGAAAAATATTCGGGATGACCAAAAGTGAATGATGCAAAGTGAGGAGTGCCAAGAGCTGAGGCTGGAGACGCAGGAGAGGCCAGACTGGGGCTTTGCAAGCATGAGGGCTTTGATCAGGGAAATGTGGTGATCAGAAAAACCTCTCCTGTAATAGTATGGACATGGATTGTAAAGAATCAAGACCAGGGAGGGGTGTCCACAGGCAAGTTGATGGTTTCCTAATGTAGGGAACTGGTAGGAGGTAGATATTGAGGAGATACTGAAGGAGAAGACATGGACTTAAAATTTATGTGGGAAATAGAATAAATTGGAATTGTTTATTTTATGGGAGAGCAAAAGAGATAAAGAAAGGAGTTAAGGTTTCTTTCTTGCACAATGAGCGACGGTGTCCCTCACTGCAACTGGGCACTTAGAAAAATAGGGAAAAGAAGGAAATTAGGCTCAGTTTGAACATAGACCAGCCTTCACAGATCTGGGCTGAAGACGCAGATGGGGGAATCTTTATCAACATCATGGAATCAAAGCCATGGAACAGATGGAATCAATCAGGAAGAGAGTGTGGAGCAATAAGAAAAGTAGGTCTAGGAGTGATTGCCAAGGAAACATTTAGGAAAGGGACAGAAGAGGAACCTATCTAGGAGACTGAGGAGAAATGGTGCCAAAGCAGCGAAGGAAAGTGGCATTAACAATGTCAAAGCTACAGCAAGATCTGATGTAACACCAAATGGTCGCTGGGCTAAATAGGAGGGAGTCATGGGTGATCTTGGCAAGAGCAGTCAAAAGAGAGGTGGCTGAAGAATTAGTGGAGCCCACGAGGTGGAGGTGGGCGGGGGAATGGGGACAACCCCTTCAGCAAGACTGGTACCGCCGTGGGGAGGAGGGAGACAGGGGTGCTGCAGGGAGCACGCAGCCCATCACACTTATGTTGGCTCCAAAGTGATGATCAAGATTAATCTGGCCACCTTGAGGATTTACCACAGAAAATTGAAGCAAACAGGCAACACACTCAAATTCTTCATTTACACAGATGCTGTGGTTTTAACTCAAATAATAATTCCCTTTAAAAGGGGAAATTCTTGGTGCCTCTTTCTTCCCCCAATCTGGATAGAAACTTGTCTTTGCCTCAAGAGAAGTGATGCAGAAAAACTCCTGGGAGAAAGCCAAATACTCACATATTCATGGGGAAAGAAAATAGCAATACAGTGAAGTCAATCATTTGGAAAATTTTCCACATAAATACCTTTAGCTATTTGAGGTAGCAGATTTTCTCCAAATTAAACTCCTGCTATGAAAGTCAATGTCAGGAAGTGGCTAAACTCAATGGTCTTCAAGTTGTGCCCAGAATTCCCAAACAGGAGTCATAGGTCCATCCCTCAGTCCGTTTTATGCCCTCTGAGTCTGCAGAGGTTGGAAGTGTTGCAAAATGGGCACTTGCAACTTCTCGGGGGGAGGAGAGGCATCATATTGTTCAAAACAACAGCTGCTACTGAATCAGGCCCCGCATTAACAATAATCTGGAAAGGATTTTGTTTAAGCCTCCAGACCTGAGTAGTTGAAGGGACAGAAAGCTTTCATGTAGAAATGGAGAGTTGATGTAGGTTTAGGAGATTCTTTTTTTTTTCCAAAAGATTTTATTTATTTATTTGACAGACACAGCGAGAGAGGGAACACAAGCAGGGGGAGTGGGAGAGAGAGAAGCAGGCTTCTCCCGAAGCAGGGAGCCCGATGCGGGGCTCGATCCCAGGACCCTGGGATCATGACCTGAGTCGAAGGCAGATGCTTAACGACTGAGCCACCCAGGCGCCCCTAGGAGACTCTTTATGTGTGTACTGCACTCTAAGAGATGAATGGACAAATGCAAGTGGCTTGGAAACACCTTGAACTTTAGTAGCAGCATCCCTTTACTTCAGTAAAACTTCAGTAAAAACTGGGCAAAATATTAAGTACTAAACCTTGACCTCCTTCCTGTCTGGAGCCCCAGGTAATTTCAGTCTTAACAAACCTACAGCG